AGAATTCACCAGAGCCAGAGCGGGGAGCAGAGCAGGCAGAGGCGAAGTACACTGCTGAGGGGAGCAGCGGGCGGCAGGAGAGGTCTGCGCCATGTGGGACCCTCCTCCGGTGGCTGGGGAGCAGCCGGGGATTGAACCGGCGCTGCAGAGGCCGCGGGCAGCTTCGCAACCCAGCGCTCAACCGCTGCGCCACCGGGGAGGCCCAGGTCTTTGGTTCTTTTAAGAGGAAATATGCCACAATACTACAGTCTAGTGATGAAAACACAGGGCCCTAGAATTAAGCTGGATTTTGATTCCCTGATTTCCCACTTACCTCTCTGAGGCTTTCACCAGTCTGTTTCCTTAGCATAAATCTTAGTTCTGTATCAGTTCAATGTCAGCAGTACCTACTGCCTAGATTTATGGTGTGAAAAAGACAAAATAATGTATATAAAAAGCCAAAGAGTGATTGGCCTATAGTAGGTACTCAATCAATGCTATTTATTCAATGAGTCTGTGTAAGAAAAACCTCTTGGGATGACTAGAAAAAAAAATCTTGGCATGGAAACAGATATTCAATATTATTTTGGTAAACATACCCAGAGAGATAGATAAATAATCAGAGATTAGATAAGTTAAAGCAGTTTGACCAAGGTCACACAGTCATTTCCTGATGAAGTCTAAAGTAGAACTTGGACTTCCTTAATGTCAGGCAGCATTCTGTCCTTATGCTGCTTCTCCTAGTATCTGCAAGCTTATTAGCATAACCTAGATATATTCTGTGGTTAAAAATCGGTTACTTGGCAAAGTTTTGGTGAAAGCGGCAAAATACACACAATTGTGCAACGTCAGATGCTAGCGGTGTGTATATTTAAATAACTTGGTTGTTCAGCCTCTTTCCTGCTCTTAGAAATTGATCCTAAAAAAATAATCTAAAAGAAACGACTATATGCAAAAAGATGTTCACTAACATATTCTTTGGGATACTGAAAAATTGGACATAATCTACATGCTCCAAATAGGAGACTAGTTAAATGTGGTCTTCCCATGAAAGAAATTACAGAGACTATAAAAAAACACAGAAAACATTTATTTTCTCCTTTACCTCATTCCAAAGAGAGGTAATTTAATAAGGAGAATGACCATAACTGTACTTCTACAACCAATTAAAAATTAAATATGTAGGGCCTCCCCGGTGGCACAGGGGTTGAGTGCTGGGTTGCGAAGCTGCCGGCAGCTTCTGCAGTACCAGTTTGATCCCTGGCCACCGAGTGAGGGTCCCACATGGTGCACAGACCTCTCCTGCCACCCGCTGCTCCCCTCAGCAGTGTACTTCATCGGTCTGCCTGCTCTGCTCCCCGCTCTGACTCTGGTGAATTCTCTCACCTTCCCGTACTTCTGACTTTACCCAGTGCTTGTATAAATAAATAAATAAATATTTCAAAAAGAATAAATATGTATATGTATAAAATCCAGAAGACAAAATGGAGAAATGAAGTGATTGTTAGGTGTATTTGCATTTGGGGTGTATTTTTCTTTTATTCTGAGATCCCTTCATAATAAAGAAACATGATAAAGAATTGCTTAGAAAAAAAAATGTTTCTTGATTTGTTCTGAGAAGAGTTTACAGGATCCAAGTCTCCTTGCCTGCATCATGATAACATGAATAATTAAGTGAAAGACTCAAGGTCAGAACTCTTGTTAGACAATCAACTCTGTGGAACACTATGATGTCTCTCAGTCCTTGGCCCCACAGGACTTACTCCATGAGGAAACATGACATGTCCGGGGGTCTCAGCACTGGCTCCAACAGTCCATCTCATACCAGAGCTGCTCCCTCCCAGCTTTCATGCCACCTGCTTGTTACCATCCTTAGAATCACCATTGTACTGGCCCCTTCATTTTCTTCAGATCCACTAACTTGCTTGCATTTTCTTTGCCATTTGCCCTCAATACCTTAGCCACCTTCCCCCACAAGAACCCAAATCATCCTGAACCTTTATCTTACCAATTCACCCATCCCGAAGACCCCCATCCACCAAACATGTTCAACCACTGGTGGTCTTCCAGTGGGTGGCAAGGCTCCCAAAGACAAAGTCACCCAATGCCCCTTCCTGTGTCCCTCCTTGATCTTCCCTACATGTCACACTAGCCTTTCTCATCTGCCCCTCCCCCTGGCCCCATGTCAATGATCTTGCCTTTTACTGCATAGAAATAAATTCTTACATAAAAATTTTCTCCTTTTGAGCTGAGCCCAAAGCCAAGTTGCATTCTGTACCCATCCTGACTCCCTGCCCACCAATTTCAGAGGTGAGTGACCCTACACCTGTTCTCTGGACCCAGTGCCTCCTGCCTGCTCCTGCTTTGTTACCATTCACAAGCTTGTCGTCTCTCTTCAAACTTACTTGAACTTTTATCTTTCTCCTTCAGAATAAACATTTGTCTGTCATCTGTAAAGAAGCCCTTCCTCTAGAATACATGCTCTTTTGCATGATCACAATTTGGCTTTCTCCTCCTCACCCCTCCCACTCATTTCTGAAGAGTCAGCCTACCTTGTCTGCCTCCACTTCCCCTTTCCTTTGCCTGACTAAAGCTGGCTCCTCCCACCCCACCACCAAATTCTCTCCACAGATGTCAAATCCAATGGAACCCTCAGCTGTGCTTAACCCTGACCATTCTCTGTCTTTGACATTTTCTTGCCTTTTGGGATACTCTGGATTTATCTAAAAGAGTAGAATAAACAGATGTCTTCAGGTGATGTAGGGGTAGGTGAGCTGAAAGACTTAGTTCAGGAGTTTGCATTTGGGGAGTGGTAGCATGACAGTTGTTAGAATTAAGATCTACTAGATTGAGTTTTGAGAACTGAATTCCTCTCTCAAGACTAATTTTGTGGACCCTATATCAAGCCAACTGATGACTTAATGATATATAGAAACAACCATAACAATACAGAGAATTTTTTATGATTTTATCTTATTGAAAAAAGTGCAATGAATACTGGATCACACTTTATGAACTTGTAGACAATGTTGGCATTTCTTCTCTTAGGTTATAATTAGAATTGGTGAAAATAGAATTCAAGTCAGGTGGGTCTCCCTCAGTATTCTCTAACAGCTAAGGCTTCCAACCTGCATTCATTCTATTCAGTAAAATGGAATTAATTTTTCATTACTAAAATATTACTTTTAAATTTTAGTATTATGCTTTTAAAGCACTATTTGGTGCATGGATGTATACTACCTATTGGCTATTTTCCTACTTTTGTACTCTTAAATATGTCCCCTGTCACCCTGCAAATGCTTTTAGGTCAAGACCCTTTTTGGGCTTCCCTGGTGGCGCAGGTGGTTGAGTGTAGCACTGTGAAGCTGTCCACAGCCTCTGCAGTACGGGTTCGATCCCAGCCAGCTGGTGAGATACCCGCACGCACGGCGTGGCAGACCTCTCCTGTCTTACCCGCTGCTCCTCTCAGCAGTGTATTTCAGTCAGTCTGCCTGTTCTGTTCCCCGCTCTGTCTCTGGTGAATCCTCTCAACCTCCCTCACATTTGGCTTGTACCCCAGTTTTTGTATAAATAAATCTTAAAAAAATTTTTTTAAAGAGCCCTTTTTAGTCTAATTCTCTTCTGTCTCCTACATTGCCTAGCATGGCATTGAACACTTGGAAAATGTTTTTTAAAAAGTTATTTAGTTAAGCAAGCATTTTAACTTTCCAAATTTCAATGGGATCTGAATGACTCCTGAATGTAATATATTATTCTAGGTGCAGAAGTGTAATATAGAAACTATTTAAGTTAATTGGATTTTATGAGCTGGAGGAGAAGCAGGAATACCTCAGTACCTAGTGAGGATTTAGCACAAAATTGAAATGGCCAGACACTCTCTTGTGTATGTTGTAGCAACCTAGATATAAAAGCCATAATCTCAAGGAATGTTCAGAGCTAATTTGGGCTTGCTTTACAGTAAGTCCTATAAACCCCTGTAGTTCAGTTCCTTTGCCCAAACATTCCCAACATTCTTGACTAGGGATAGCAGCTAGGTCTTTTGGGACCTTGGGTCAGGCCTTTCTCCAGACAGGTAAATAATCTGAAAAGAAAAAGAAATCTCACATAGGCCAGTGCCTTTTTTCCTACGTGTGTGGTTTCTCCACCAGCAAGAGTGATATTTAAAGGCTCCGACTCTCTTAGAGTCCATGATTCTCCTTCCTAAGGGTTATTTTGTTTCAAAAGAAAATTTCCACTTTTCTTATATAGACTGAGACACCTGCAGGAAAACCACTTTCTTTAAAGAAAATATGCTAGACTTTGATTGTAGGCATTGACTTCAAAACCGACTGATTAGAGTAATTCCTTGTTCCTTACAAATTGTGGCTGAAAGTTGACTGAGAGGGGGGGTCCATAAGTTAACCTACAAAGACAAGAGGGTCTTGAGCCCCCATTCTTGTCGTCGGTCTCCCCCCATCCCGGCCAAAAGAGGAGTCAAAATCTGAAATCTTCGCGTCTTCAGGACCCACGGTGCAAGTCCTCTGTGGGCCTCTGTGCTGGAGGCTGCGCCTCCCTTGATTTCGGAAAAGACTGGCCCAGGCGCTCTGGAGGGTAGTACCTGAGCAAGGTATGACCCACTCAGAGGCAGCCTGGGGCTGCCACTCACTTGGGGGAGGAGCTGACACCCGAGTCACCCCTCCCAAGAGGAAACCTGAGCCGGGGTGCGCCAGGTGAGGCCAGGCACGCCCACCCGGCTCACCTCGGAAGAGGCGGGGATCCGACTTCCATTACCGGCCTGGGCGGAGCCGGCTGGGATCACCTGGGCCGAGGCGGAACTGCCGGGTCCGGCCTCTGCGACGCACAACCAGAAACTAAGAGTCACCTGTGCGGGGGCTGGAGGCGGGACCACAGCCAAAGTTCACCTGGGCCTCAGGGAACCTGACCCGGCGTAGCCCCGGAATCGCCCAGTGCGGAGGGGTGGGCGCCCCACGCTGGGCCCAGCCGAGTGACCCTCCGTCCGTCGATCGGTGCGTGAGTCCCGAAGCTGCCGCCATGACCTGGAGCGCCACGGCGCGGGGCGCGCAGCAGCCGGACAACACCGCCTTCATGCAGCAGCGCCTCCCCGCCTGGCAGCCGCTGCTGTCGGCCAGCATCGTGCTGCCGCTGTTTTTCTGCGCGGGCCTGGCCTTCATCGGCCTGGGCCTGGGCCTCTACTACTCCTCCAACGGCATCACGGAGCTGGGGTACGACTATAGCGGCTACCCCGGGACCAGCAACTGCACGGTGTGCGCCGAGGCCCCCCAGGGCCGCGCGCCGCCGCCCCGCTGCACCTGTGCCTGGTACTTCACGCTGCCCGAGCTCTTCCAGGGCCCCGTGTATCTCTACTACGAGCTCACCAACTTCTACCAGAACAACCGGCGCTACGGCGTGTCCCGCGACAACTCGCAGCTGAGTGGGGTGGTCAGCTCGTTGCGCCACCCGGCCAACGAGTGCTTCCCCTACCAGTACAGCGCGGCGGGCCTGCCCATTGCGCCCTGCGGTGCCATCGCCAACAGCCTCTTCAATGACTCCTTCTCGCTGTGGCACCAACGCTGGCCCGGCGGGCCCTACGTGGAGGTGCCCCTGGACCGCACCGGCATCGCCTGGTGGACCGATTACCACATCAAGTTCCGCAACCCGCCCCTGGTGAACGGCAGCCTGGCGCTGGCCTTCCGCGGCACCGCGCCCCCGCCCAACTGGCACCGGCCGGTGTACGAGCTCAGCCCCGACATCAACAACACCGGCTTCATCAACCAGGACTTTGTGGTGTGGATGCGCACGGCCGCGCTGCCCACGTTCCGCAAGCTGTACGCGCGCATCCGCCATGGCAACTATTCAGCCGGGCTGCCCCGAGGCTCCTACCGGGTCAACATCGCCTACAACTACCCGGTGCGCGCCTTTGATGGCCAGAAGCGCATCATCTTCAGCAACATCTCGTGGATGGGAGGCAAGAACCCCTTCCTGGGCATCGCCTACCTGGTTGTCGGCTCCCTCTGCATCCTCATGGGTTTCGTCATGCTGGTCGTCTACATTCGCTACCAGGACCAGAACGACGAGGACGAGGACGAGGAGTGATGCCCCCTTGCTTTCCTGCAAACTTCCTGCTGGCCAAATTCCAGGCGTGTCCTGCTTTCCCTGGTGGTTGTGGATAGGGAGGCCAGGGAAAGGAACTTCACTCAATTGGGGGTACTTACTTGCTCGGGTGTTTGGACTGCAGAGGGAAACATCCTTGCAAATTCCCCCCATGTCCTTCAAGACTTAATCAAATTGACATGTTAGTCTTGAAAAGGCTCTAGCATTTGAAAGCAGAAGGGACGATAGAGACTTAACCAACCCTTATCTGATGAACAGACTGAGACCTAGGGGTGCTAAAAATCGCATTCAAGATCCGACTGTCAGTCATTGGACTCGAGAGCCATTACCACTGCAGTCCAGTGATTTTCTTTTCTTTTTTGGGGGGAGGGCTGTGCGTGGCAGAGAAAAGCCCACAAGTAGCCTGCTGCTATCTAGAGGGGTAGGAGAGGATATATTTGTTTAAAACGTGCATTGACTAGGAGGCATCACCCCCCAGCAATTCGAACACACAAGAAAGGCTGGATCAAGACCTTTGAGGCTGCGTTTAACCATCTGGAGATCATGCCGATATTCCCATCAATTTGGGAATCACTGCCCTGAACCAGGGAGCATTTTAGATTGTGAAAATATGATCAATATATGTATGTGGAGTAATTTTATTTAGTATGAATGTTTGATTGAGCAGCTCAACAGCCCAACCGTTCTTCATGTTGGATAAAAGAATTCATTATTTTTTTTTTATTGTGTACTTGAGAGCAACCATGTATTCTGTCATTTTTACAGTATTTAGTCCACTGCTATAAGACTTTAAATGAGACTGTGACCTCTAAGGTATTCTGATTAAATCAGTAAATATGGCTCCAGGCCCTATTCTCTGGATTTTTTAAAGAGAATAAAGGTTGTGTTTGTCTTACCTTTGTTATCATGTTTGCTTAATTCTTCTGAACCTTGATCTTAAAGGCACAAGCATTATCAACCACTTTGCTCATTTGTTATTACCAAATTTATATTGCAGTAAGATAATCATCTTTCAGAGTAAGGCTCAGTTAAAAAGTGAACTCAGTCTTTCACTGTTAACTTCTTAAATCAGAATTGGAACTTATATTAACATCAACATGTAGTGTGAATTAAACAATCTTCACCTATTGTTTGAATTTGGTAATATGGAGTAAATTTAAAAATTTGAATACTCAACGTTATTACAGAATGTGATTATAGCAGTCAGCAGTTTTCTCCTTTTCCATATTTTACTAGGAATGTAAATTTAAGTTATTTGTTGGATACTTTGGCCTACAGAGCGGTATAAGATTTAAAAATTAAAAATGAAAACATTTCCCTATATGGTAGCATTTTGTCTGGATTTTGTCTGGATTCTAGCTGGGCTTGAATTTCATGGTGTCCTGTAAGTGCTTCCTAACTAATGTGTCTTCTGGAATGAGAAAGAAAAGGGTAAACTTCAGTGATCAGACTAAAAATGTGCTTTGATCTAACTTATAAAATAAACCACAAACAAAAGAGAAATTAATGAGGTCAGGAGTGTTAGGGGGAAAGGATGTCCTGAGATAAGTCCTTTTAAGCGCGCGGGTGAGGACCCACAGTCAGGCACCCCGTTTTGTATCGGGGTTGCTCTACAACAGTTGGGTTGCTCTACAACAGGAGGAATATTACAAGAATATTACAAAGCAGAATATTACAAGAAAGATTTTCCAGGTATCTCCACAATCATATCAACTAAACCGTTCACTAAGAGATCTTTAAAAATCAGAGACAGAATAATCCGGGATTTCCTTTATAACCACAGCCCTTTCTGCCCTACTTTAAGTCTGTTGCCCTCTTGCTGTCACTGGCAATCTTGACAATCTTAAGTTCTCAAAGAGAGCTATCAGTAGAGTTGCAATGTAATCAAGTTCTTACGCCCTTGCATATAAGTCATCAGTTACTTTAATAATAGTAAATTCCCTCTTCATTTTCATCAGGCATTTCTCTGCACCCTAGTTTCACTTTCTGTAGCTAAACCATAGCTGATTGATTTTACATAACAAAATTTTTAAAAAGTTTCAACTTCAATTTGTTCCCTGTGAGAATTTCTTGGTTCTCTTCCCATGAAAACAATAGGTTTAAAAATGTCATGAAGAAGATCTTTGTGAATCTGACCGAAACACATTAAGATCCTAAAGAGATCTTACCTGAGAGCAGTACTTTGTATAAATAATCTGCTAAAATTGTGAACAGTGTTGAATCTAGGTATACAGCCATAATTACTCTGATTAAGACTAACATGTATTCAGGGAAAAATTCTTCCCCACTGAAATGACACCTGGCATTATGGTTGCCACCTTGATGATACTCATGTAAATTAGGTAACTGCAATGTTCCTTTATTTCACTCATGGGGCAAGCAGCTCACCACAGACTGAAAAATCCTGAAGTCATGAAACCGACATAGATGTATGGGGGTGCAGAGATAGGAGGAGGAAAATTAAAAAAAAAAAAAAAAGGATGAGGTTTGGCGCCTGGGCCACCAAGATGCCCTGAAGGCAGGGTCAGAAAGCACTGGAGCCCGCCCAGGGCAGAGCTCACTCACAGAACTCTCTGATGACAAGGGCTTTGAGAAATCCAGTGAGCGGATGGTGGCTCACCTCCTTCTGAACCCCTCAGCTTGTCTTTTTGATCAATCTGAGTGTGATTTATCTTTTTCCTTAGAAGCAAAAGGTATTACTGTCAAGAACTTTTGCTAATAGCCTTGGCTTCCACATTGAGCTCTTAACTAAGTTCCCATTTAAGTGGCTGAAACCTTACATTACTGATGAAAACTGTAAATGATGTGTCATTAATAATGATACTTAGTTCTTCTAAAAGGCCTTTGTTCTGAAAGTCCAAGGTGCTCACCACTATGTGGTCTCATTAATCTTATCCATCAAAATGCTTGTACTTTTAGAAAGTCATCTAGACTGAAAAAGCAGAGATAGTTTCCTTTCTAATTTGCTCAGTTTTGTTCAGACTTCTCCAGAGTAATTTCAAATGAAGACTTGGTTAATTTTCATTATGATTTCACTAAGTAAAAGATATTTCCCATTTTTGATAGACTCCAAAGTGGAAGATGCAATGCTTTCTAATCATTGTTAGGTAACAGAATATAAAAGTCTTATAAACTTTTCCTTGTTTTACTCTTTTTACTCTGATTTTTTTCCTACAGAGCTTTAGGGTTAAGACTTATCTGTTACATTAATTTACAAATAGCTGAATATATTTCTTAAATTTTACTTAGAGGTGGCAAATTAGCATATAGAATCACTTTCATGAATTTTTAAAAACAGTATTAAACATCATATATAAAAATGGCATAATCTCCATATCCAACCCTAACTTCTCTCCAAGCTCACATCACCTCTCTGACACACCTCAATGTCCTGCAAGTTGACACAGTTTGGCCTTTTCTCCAAACCCATTCTTCCAAAAGTCCCAGATGCTGAAAATGATTCCTCTGTTGCTCTCAGTCACCCACACCAAAAAATCTGAAGTGCCTCCTTGAATCCTCCCACAGCTTTTTGTTCATATCAAAATGACTATCAGATCCTATTGCTTCTCTATCCCAAATGCACTTTTAATCAGGTGTCTCTTTGTCATTACCCTGGCCCAGGAGATTGTTATTTCTCATGTGGAAGCTGGAGGAGTCTCCAAACTGAGCTTCAGTTTATTCTCCACAACTCACTCTGAAAGAGCTAGGCAAAACACTAACCCCATCACATGATCCCTCAACTTAAAATCTCTCCTGCCTATACGTAGCTTGCAGGAGGAAGTCTATATTCCTCACAGGGCATTGAAGACCTTCATGGTTGACTCATTCTAAATCTTCATCCCCTTTTGCTCCAAGGCCCCAACGAAGTCCAGCCATATTGAATGATTTGAGGAGGACTGAAGCGACATGCTACACGTTTGCCCTGCTGGTCCTGCTCCTGACCACCTGAGTCTCCATCCTTCCTCGAGAGTCAGCTCCATGTTTGTGCCCTCTCTACTCTGGCAGGTCCTCTCCATGCCCCCTGTGCTTGCTTCACTCCCTGTCTCCAGCCTGGCCTCGCCTTTGAGCTCATTTCATTTCTCTCCCAGAGCACTTACTGTGCTACCTAGAAATAATTTATTTGCTTATCTATCTCCACATCCAGACTGTTCTTTGAGGGCTGAGTATCTTTTTATCTCATTCACCTTGAGGATCACCAGTGTCAAGTTGAGTGACCAGCAAGCACATGGTGGGTCCTCAAACATGTGTTGACCGACTATTAGGAAGCCAGTGATTCCATCATTTACTACCATTGAACATATTATTTCCTACCATACATTTGAATGCATAGGAAATAATTGAGGAAACAAACAGGAAGCAGAGATGGTCCCCTAAACATCTGAAAATCTTAGAACAGGGAGCATGGTGGACACACATATATTCTGTACAGCACGGAAACACTAAGCTTAGAGACCCATTTGGATAACTGAAATGTGCAATCAGGTTTTCCTCCATAAACTGATTTGCAGAAATGAGTAGCAGATGGGTTACATTAGCCCATTGATAGGGGGATTGTTACTTTCTACTCAAAAGTAATCAGTGTCTTTCCTGTTTAACAGCAGTCATAGAATGTTCACATTTTACTTCCTATAGTATCCTACAATAAAACGTAAACACATATTGCTTTCCCCTGCCATGCAATTACCCAAGAACCCATTTAAACAAAAATAGCATTTCTGGAGAAATATCCAGAAAGGAAAGCAAAATTAAATGGAATCATAGTTGTCCCATTTGCAGGCTGGTGTTTGATTTATAACATTTGGCACATCTTGATATCTACATAATAGTAGTTTTAAAACCATAAATAATATTTTACAGAGGTCACACCATAGTTATTTAAGTTCAGGGGTTTATTTCCCTGAGCACTAAGTAGCTATGAATGAATTATGTTTAGTCTGATCTGCCACAGAAGGGCCATAAACCTCCAAGTCATAGCAAACAGTGGAATATTACTTCAATACGTCAGGAAAATTGTACATGTAAAAGAATAATGTATGATAAGGGAGAGGGATTTTTTTTTTTAAAGTAATATATGTTACCAGGCAGGAGCTATAAAATTTTGTTATGTTAAACTTTCCTCTGATTCTGGAAAACAAGTTAAGTGACTGCTTTGCACTGTGGACTCTACGGCAGCAAAGCTGGTTATGGAACCAGAAAAGGGTCTGGAAAGGTGAGTCTGGCCCTGAATCAGGACATGCGTTTCCTCCTCAGCTCTCCACCCTTCGAAAAGATGAAAACAAAGAAAACCTGCAAGATCACAAGAGGTGGTTTTGCAAACTTCTCTTTTCTGCCAGCATTCCTTCCCAGTGACACCCAGATCAGAGTTTTTATAGCTCCTCAGAAGTGGGAAAAGAGAAGTTTTTAGTCCGAAGGTGAATTCACTTTGAAAACGAAATCTGGTTAAAACGTGCCCATGAAACTCTTAAGCACTTACAAAGTACCAGACAACATGCCAGATGATTTCCCTGGCTTCTCTCCTTTAATGTTTACAACCACCCTAATCTTATTCCCATTTTACAAACATGGAAACCAATTTGGAAAAAAATAAAGAAACTGGAAGATTTGGTGGTAGGGAGGGGTGACTGTCCCAGGCTTCTGGCTGAGGTGGGTACTTCAGAAGCCCCCTGACTACTCAAAATCGCTAGTGCTGTTTTCCAGGCAATGTTCTAAGCTTTTCTACCTACACTACCACATTGTAATCCCGTGATCTAGTGAATAGATGCTCATGTGACCAGCATCTCACAGATGGGGAGCTGATACTCAGAGAGGTAGAGTTAGCAGCCTGAGGCAGCAGAGAGAGGACCACCGAGCCAGGATTCAAACCCACCAGCCAAAGGGCC